TCTAACACAATTCATACATTTTTTGTCTAAAAAGACCAGTCTGTTTTTCTACTTTTTTTTCGCTGTGCTGCACAGTGATTACGTTTTTTTATTGAGGGGTCTCTGCTTCGGTTAAGTTTTTTTTTTCGAGGGAATACTGCCTCGGTTAAGTACTACTACGGGAGGATATGTCCAAGAACAGCCCAACAAGGCCCATTAGGGTTGTATCAACTCCCTCACTTTGGTTGTACCCCACACCGTTTTCTATTCCTTCCCTCTTTTGTTTTCTCCCGCGAGCAGCTCGTGCGACAGCTGAGCTGCGGCCGCCGCCGCCACACTTTGCTTCGCTGTGAGCGGTCCCGAGCGTGAGCCGGTGGGGGTGTCGGCGAGGCGCGCGAGGGTCAGGCAGCGAGGAGACCGCCGCCGCTGCAGCCTGGTGTGCGCGCGCTCCAGGCTGCTCCGCCACTCAGCCACCGGGTTGCAGATGCCGCCATTGCTCCTGCTAGGCTGCTACCGTCCGTCGCCAGCCGTCCGCGCTGCTGCTGCCACCTTCGCCGCGCACCTGGCCGCGCCGCCGCCCGGGAATTGCCCGACGCGGCCGTCTCGTGTTGCCCTCTGCCGGCGCGCGCGGCAGACGACGCCTTTGACGTCTATCTTTCTGGCCAAACGCATTCCTCGGTTAGTTCTGCGAGTTGACTCCTTACATTCCGGTTTACGAATCAATGGAGGTGCCCTCCGCGAAATCGCAAGTAGTAAGCTATACTTCAATTGCCAATTATTTCAGTCGTCATATTGCAGCGATGGAGGAATAGTAAATATGTATTACACATTCCCACGAGGCGGTGAATCAAGAGATGTGAGAAATACAAATACAGTAGAAAACTAGTTCTACTGTTATACTCGGATAGACTACTTTCTTAGGTGCATCATCCCATACTCTGGTAAATATGGCATGAGCATGCACATCACCTGAGTCAAGGGATGTGCATTCCTTCTCCAAAACATTGGTAGATTAGAAATCCTCTTCAAGTGTAGTATAAACTACCGGTATCAAGAATGAAATAAATGAATCTCATAGAGGAAACCCAAATAACGGCAATGGTCATGATATATTCAGTTCGTTGCTCTAACAATGTGGTGTATAATTTTCTGCAGCACCGTTTGTGATTCTTTTTAAGGCAACCTTTGTAATCCGCCAAAGATACTGCCGCCTGCTTAGAATATACTCCCTCTGTTCCATAATTATTGTCAGTTATGGAACAGAGGGAGTATTATTTATCAGTTATTTGCTCTTGTGGTAAAGTAGGTGAAATATTACTCTTTGCATCCTTGATCGTAGGGTCTTTGGCTGAACTTAATCCATTTCACACATTGTTTCATTACTTCAGCTGACATATAGATAATTGATCATCACAGTTTGAATAGATTACTTTTTGAAAGTGGTACCTTCATATAGATTTCAACTACAATTTGAAGATGTAGTGGGTTGTGATATGAAACTATTTTGGTAGATCATATTATTTCTACATGTAGGCATTTTGGCCATCTCTTTGGAATTTTCTCATATGGAACTATTTTGGCAACTATTTACAGTACACTTATTATTTGGGTTCTGAACATTTTCAGGTATCTCACAAAATTACCATGGATGATTTCAGTTTATGTCTACTAAAAAATTTGTTTTTCCCCATGCAATGCACTTTGTTCTAAATGTTATCATGATTGTTTTTTGCTGAAAACCCTTATGTTCTCTTAATTTAAGCAGGGCATACAGAGGCTAAAGTCAACCTTAAAATGGAGGATGCTAACGCAGTAGTAGATTGGAATGTTGACATTATTGGCCCAGATGGTGGTAGCGGCGCTTGCCGCAAATTGGCAAAAACTGAAGACCCTGATGCCACAGAGTGTTCAAGTTCCTTTGGGGACACACTATCTGGATCTCAGGATGATGCAAAGCCTTCAGAGATTAGTGACATTGAAGTAGACTCACCATTCTGCCGTTATCCTCATAATGGTGATGCTGCTGCACTCTTGGATGCAGCTGCTGCTGACAATTTGGATAGATTATTGAAGTAAGTTGTTTGGGTAACTGATTACCTCCCAACCTCGTTTTACTCCTTAATATAAATGTCAAATCATGTTTTCAGCAGTTGCTCATCTCGTGATAGACTCGAACAGAATGAAAATTATGGTAGAAGCAAAATTACCCTTATAACATTTTCCTTGCGGAATCAATTTTTCCACTCAAGCTAAAAGCACTGAGTTATTATACTCATTTGACCTGTAATCGTTCTTATCTGACGATACTTTTCCCTCTGAAAATTAGTCAGAAAACTTCTTATCTTGAATGGCTAATGTGAGACATGAATTTTGTGGTACTTAATATGCCAAGCAATTGTTAGTCTGTCTACAGTTTGAAAGGAGCATGATGTTAGCCAGTGAGAAATTAAGAAATTACGAATAAAAGGCATAGTAATTAGATAGAGTCAGCTGAAGAACAGTAATATGCTACACATGTTTGGTGTAGGCAGAGACTAGTTTAGGTCTTCTATCAGTTCAGAATGGATTGGAAGTGCATACCCTGAGGAACTTATAATTCATAAGCAATTTACGGATTAGTAATTTGCAGTTGAAGTTCACATGCGCACTTCCTTGTACTCCCTCCGTCTCAAAATTCTTGTCTTAGAATTGTCTAGATACGGATGTACCTAATACTAAAGCGTGACTTGATACATCCGTATTTAGACAAATCTAAGACAAGAATTTTGAGACGGAGGGAGTACATATATTTGGTGCTAGTAGTGCATGAGCTTGATTTCCTATTGAAGGGCTATGTTCATTCATCGAACTCTTTTTGACTAGTTTTTAGACTTCATCTTTGCTAGTCAGAGCATTCATACTCCAATATGTTAAAGTCCAGTGTCCACTAGGTGCGCACCCTCCACAAGGTATGGGTCCATGCACACATAGCAACCTGCTTGCACTTTGTCTCCCCTTGTTGTAAAGGGGCTGATCAGGAGGTATTTTACTTTTAGACCAAACTAAGCATTATACGCTAGTCACTTTAGACTTTTAGTGTGGCCCATGTGGGTACTATGCCATGCTACAACTATGTAACCATATGAGCCACATGGTCCAGGCTGCCAAACGAGTCAGGTGCCACTTTATATTTAATACCCATCATATGTAAAAATTCTTATAGTGATAAAGAAGCATGTCTTCGGTCTGATGTAATTGATTCCTGAAAGTGGGACTTAACAATATCACAAGTAAAATGTTTGCTCTTCTGTCCAACGCACATGCTGGCTCTAGTTTGTGATATTTTTTTAAGCAAGTAAATTGATTAAAGCTGATGCCTTTCCCAAACCCTTCTCCATCAAGATAAGGCCCTTGCAAGTTTGATGATGCCTGTACTTTAGATGTATAATATGCCATTCAGTTGTGTGTATGTTTCTAGTTTTGTAGCAATGCCTGATTTCTTGGATTCCTATCTGTGGTGTTATCTCAGTGGTCTTTCTATTAACATGTGGCGCAACCGCGCAAAGCATATTTGAGTATTTAACGCAACTTATCATCCATTGCAGAAAGAAAAAAGTGACCGATCATTGGAGAAGCTATATCAGCCCATTAATGTGGAGATGCCAATGGTTAGAGCTGCGGATGAAAGACTTGCAATCTCAAGTATCCAGATATGACAGGGAGCTTGCAGTACTTAAACATGAGAAAGAGTTGCAGACAAAAATGATTGAGTTGGACTGTTCCTCGTCAAGATCAGTGCCCTTCTCTTCTCATTGCTGCAGGAAGACTATGAAGAGGAAGAAGAGGAAGAGAAATGAGGAGAAAATCAATGCTCCCTCATACATCGCAACCCACACCATATTGTCTTATTATGGTAACCATTGTGTTCTACTTCACACAATTTATTACAATCTGTCCTAGTGAGATCTCATTACAATCGTCCTGCAGAAAAAGAGAAAACGGAAGGTGATGGCCATTCTATCGACGACAATGGAAACTTAGGTAACACTGGCAATTGCTTCATGATTTGAAAACAAATATGATCTTTCGAACACCTAAAATGCTAGTGATTGTATTGTTCTACTTTCTGAATTCGTTTTCCTAGTGCTTTTGTCCAGAAATAATGTGTTGCATACTTATAGATCACAAAGACACTGTTGGTTGCATCTTGTATAGAGGAAGAAACTCATTTCCTGCTTATGATAATAGTAGCACTCTAGATATGATGACTCAACTAGTAAAAGTTATACTCATAATTGCATGTCAAGGTCAGGTTAACAAGAAACCATACATATTGTAATCAGTGCTCTGTTTGCTGGAAATAAATAAAAATGATTTGTTTTATATGTAGCAGATGAGTTCACAAAAGTTTTTCTGACCTTTCAGCAGATGACAGCACAAAAGGAAATAATGACGCTGACTGGCTACTCGGTAATGGAGACGATGCTGCTGTCGAGCAGATTCTTGTAAGCATTCAGTCTGTTCAAGACAGAGTCTGTAGTCTGAGATCAGATCTCAAGAAAGCAATGGCCAAGAAGAGTAAGGGGCTTCTCCTTAAAGTCAACACACAGGTCAACGGCGCACAGAGCTCTAATTGCTCACATGGAAAAGGCAAAGTTACTGAAATGCCTGAAATATCACCTCAAGATGCATCGGATTGTGATATGGGTGATACGGACATGCCCGATAGTGCTGTCTCAAGCTATGGAGAAGCTAACAATATGGATATTTTTGAGAGCACGATGAACCTATTGTCAGTTGAAGATCCAGATAAAATTGGTGAACTACGCCAGGTAAGCTACCACAACTCTTTTATATCACGCCATAACAAACTAATTCGTCCACCTATTTGGAGGAGCTTGAGCTCCAACCTCTACCACCCCACCCCTTCAAGAGCCAGAACTCTCCACAACAATGTTTCTGGTTAACTTCTCCTATGCCATAGATGCTACACTATACACTTCATAAGTGGCAATTTAAAGAACTGTGTGTTTGAAGGAGATGAAACCCAAAAGAAAATCGTTGGGGCGTAATCTTAGCGACACGCCATATTGGAACCCGGGTGTGGTGTCAAATGATCTTATGGGTTTCAACTCTAGCCTACCCCAGCTTGTTTGGGACTAAAGGTTTTGTAGTAATAGTAGTTGTTGTGGTGGTGGTGTATTTGAAGGAGGTCAGCTCTTTACTATTATCTTGCTTTGCTTACAGACTTCGGAAGATGTATTGATCGACAACCAACCAGCTGAGGAAGGGTATCAAAATTTTGAGGTGATCAGTCACCCATGCCAGCGACTACGGGTATCAGTCAAGAGGGAACAGGTACCTGTCAAGAGAGAAACTGTAGCACATTCTGAGGATGAGAGCGTCGCCGCCCCCATGGCGGTCGTCAAGGAAGAAGGCGGCACAACCAGGATGGGCCTCCAGGGGATCTTGAAGCCCTGCTACACGGGCAAGAGAAATGGGAGGAGGCCGAAGATTCTAAGGCGCGGTGGTTCATCATCTGCTCTTAGCTCATGGAGGAGCGCCCGGACTCGAAAGAAGAGGAAATCGTAGATGCAGATGGTCTCAGTGAACACACCCTATCCTCTGGCTTCGGTTCTTCCGTTTGATTAGATGATGATGACGGCAATTGCGCACTCCCTCTCTTTTTTCTTTTCTTTTCCTTCTATCTGACTGATGACATTTTCTGCGGAGCCAGAAGAGAGTTATGGAAAATGGCGCTATGGCTTTCAGCCGCGAGGTGCTTGTAAACCTAGCGATGTCTGTTTCTGTTTCTATTGTTGTTGTTACGTCTGGTCTTTGTTCTGAAAGAGTCGAACTTTGGTTGTTACAGTGTAACTTTTGATAAGGCTTTCCTGCAATGTTGTTTGTGTATTTTCAGACGGGAGCTTGCGTGCCAACTCCTTCACTGTACTGAAAAACGTATCTTTCAGAAAGTTTTTTTCTACGGAGCTGAAAAACGTATTTAGTTTAAAAGAAGAATGACCAGCAGCGGTGCTCTGAAAACAGGGCTAGTTTCCTCCGTACAAACGCTAATGGCACAGCAACAATTAATTTGACAGCGCTGCTGCACACACGACAGTACACAGCCGTTTTGTGCACGATCCTATTGATCTCACCATGCATGCATGGGACAAGATGAAGCAGAACCGCTGGATGAAACAGACAGGAAAATTTATAGCGTTTGGCGACATACTACGGGGGCACGTCGATCCGTTCCGTGGCAACCGCACAATTGGAAAAATGTTTGTTAAACTGATCCATGTTGGACACAGAACGGACATGAAAACGTGAAACATGAGTAGTTTATTTCATCCAGTCCAGTACGGCGAGTACCTACTCTCGGGAAAACAACACTACTGCAACGTGCCTGCCTTGCGTATCTTTGCCGTGGACACGAAACATACATGGAAATAATGCAGGACTTGAGCGTCAAGAAATGTACTCCATCCGATTTCTTAAATAGTATAAAGTTGGGTCATCTATTTTGAAATGAAAGGAGTATAATATAAGACGTTTTGGCAGTTTAATTGAACCGTCAACATATCATATATTTAAAAATAGTGATAGTATTAGTGTGTGCGCAAGCTCAGCTTAGACTATCTACGGCCGGGCTTGGGAAATCCGGTTTAAATTTTAAACGTCCGTGGATCCGTCCGATCATGAGCCCAAACAGCGTTGAATGGCTCCTATTGCACAACTTCATTCCTCATATAAGAATTTCAAATCCATACACGGTCGTTTATATAGATGAATATCATACGTAAAATAACATTTGTTCATAGAAAAAACACATAGTTCAAGTATAAAGTTTATTCAAAGTGTATGTATAATTCAAACATTAAACTCATTGGCCGCTATGGGTTCACATATGCTCCACGAGATCATTGAATAGTTGCGTGTGCAATTGATGATCTCGAAATTGTCGATGCATTTTTAGAAAGTTCACAATATGCTCTGCATCTTCTTTCAGGAGGCGACAGATATATACTCTGGGCTTCCCAGAGTCATGCGTTCAGACTGCCCTTTCACCCTCATCCTCAACAATTATATTGTGTACAATGACACAACATGTCATTAGTTGCTACAAAGTCTCTGATTCTCACATCATTACCCCAATGAGCTTGGAGCACTGCGAATGCCCTCTCCACATTATTCCTAGCTGCTTCTTGCATTGTTGCAAAGTAACATTATTTGTTGTCATGCAAGATAGCACCCCATGAATTGTGCATGTTGATGGTGTAGTTATATGGTAACGTATCCCCATCACAAAGTCTATTGAAAACAACGAAAACTGACGGAGTACATTGATGTCATTGTAAGAAGCTGGCATGCTAAAGAACCTATGCCAAATCCACAACTCCCTTGATGTCACTGCTTCTAGCATGATGGTGGTCTCTTTGGTGTGACCTTGATACACCCCGCATGAATCTCTCTGGCAGTTCTTCCATTGCCAATGCACGCAATCGACTGAACCGAGCATAGTTGAAAAACCTCTCGTCGCTCCAGCAGCCATCAACCTTTTTGTATCTTGCACAGTTGGTTCTCTCAAATACTCTGCTCCAGACACCTTCATCACGGCGCGGGCAAATCTCATAGTGATATCAAGGCATGTGCTCTCCCCCATTTGAACCATCTAACCAACAACATCAATGGCGATACCTAATGTAAACATCCTCAAAGCAACCATGCATTTGTGCAATGGAGAGAACAAGAGTTGCCCGCAACAATCCCTCTTGAGCTTGAAGTAGGGATCATATGCCTCCACTCTCTTCACCGCGCAAGAACAAGGGTTTGCGCATATGCGAGCGTCAACAAAGAAATGAATTAGGGAATGTTGATCCAGGCTAGAAGTAGTCCATGTAGAGTAGCCCTGCGCCAGCGACCCTATCCTGGTTTAGAACTCCCCTCTCTTTGATCAACACTTGAAGTTCAGAATGAGTTGTACTTCCCTCCCCGTTTCCTCCTGGATGCTGATTATTATCATCAAGTAAGCACTTTGTCGTCCGAATTGACAAATCGAAGAATTATTTTTGAATGAATTCATCAAACTCCTTGTCTTGATACCCCTTGAGGGAGTCCTGGATTAGGGGGTCTCCGGACAGCCGGATTATATCCTTTGGCCAGACTGTTGGACCATGAAGACACAAGATTGAAGACTTCATCCCGTGTCTGGATGGGACTCTACTTGGCATGGAAGGCAAGCTAGGCAACACAGATATGTATATCTCCTCTTTTGTAACCGACCTTGTGTAACCCTAGCCCCCTCTGGTGTCTATATAAACCGGAGGGTTTTAGTCTGTAGGACAACATACAATCATACCATAGGCTAGCTTCTAGGGTTTAGCCTCTCTGATCTCGTGGTAGATCAACTCTTGTACTACTCATATTATCAAGAATAATCAAGCAGGACGTAGGGTTTTACCTCCATCAAGAGGGCCTAAACCTGGGTAAAACATCGTGTCCCCTGCCTCCTGTTACCAACCGCCTTAGACGCACAGTTCGGGACCCCCTACCCGAGATCCGCCGGTTTTGACACCGACATTGGTGCTTTCATTGAGAGTTCCTCTGTGCCGTCGCCGTAAGGAAGGATGCCTCGTCTCGTTGTTAAAAACAACATCATCGCCGGGGGAGCCCTGGCTGTCGGCCGAACCCTCCGGCTAGGCAGTTTCATTATGATCGCCCGTTTGGCTGCTGCACCGACGATGACTTCTCGGGTCATCGAAAATAGCCTCCACATTGGCTCGGAATTCACCGAGCAGATGGATCCAATGGAGCTCTCTTCCCTAAACGAGCTCTTGGATCGCACCGCCGCCTTGGGAGTCGCTACGGACTATGATCGGATTGGGCTTAAACCCGATCAAAGGGAGATTAACTCTCCATCGGTCACCCATCATGTTGCGGTGGTGGAGGAACAATGCGGCGATTCTTCCTCTATCTTGAAGACTAACTATGTCCGGATTCCCAAGCTCTCCGAGCCGGATACCCGTTTACGGGAGGACATCACCCAAGCTCTGAGCCTAGAGTCAGGCAGCGGGCCAGACTTATCGGGCAACATCGTGAAACCCGAAATTTACACCTCGGCCCCTGGGTCTCAGATCGGGTAGGGGTTCGGACCCAATTCCACCCACCCACCCAAACATAAACGATCTTTCCCACATCAGGCAAGAGCCCCATGAAACATTACATCATTATTGGGCCAGATTCCTCCTTGTGATGAACAAGGTTAAGGACTATCGCGAGGAAGACGCAGTCTCATTTTTTTGCAATAATTGCATGGACAAGGGAATCCTTAATGCCTTGAGTCGCCGTGACATATCACGCTTCGCTGACTTGGCATCCATAGTATGAAAGTACTGTGCGATGGAAAGCGCCTGGAAAACCAAAACGAAATTTTGGGATAATCCGGCTCGGAATATACGCCCAGTTCGAAGTAAAAGGGTGCACTATCATAAGACACCCGAGTTAGTTACAAAGAAACAAAAACCCTCTACAGGGCATGGAACCGTATTGGAGGGATGGATTAACGAAACCTGCAAAATTCATAGTACAGCAGATATCATACCAACACACAGCCTTAGAGCATGTTGGATACTTCGGCAGGTGACCAAAAGTGGTGAGGATCTTCTCATCCCAAATACCACAGAGCACCATCCCGTGGATAACAATACGGTATTAATAGTCTTTAAAACCTTCGCATCAAATAATAGGTGCAAGCGAACACTCCGCAGCCTCGCCGAAATCTGCCACGTAGCAGCAATAAATCCATGGAGTGACACGGCTATTACCTTCAACGCCAATGACGAACCTAAATTCCGAACAGCCCGAGCACCAGCCGCACTGGTCCTCAGTCCAATTGTGGACGACTTTTGACTCACCAAAGTACTCATGGACGGCGGCAGTGGATTAAACCTCATCTACGAGGAAACTCTTCAAAAAATGGAAATAGACTGGAACCGCATTGAGCAAAGCAGCACAACCTTCAGAGGAATTATCCCCAGTCGGGAAGCACGCTGTGCTGGGAAAATCACACTAGATGTGGTATTCGGCACGCCGGAGAACTATAGGTCCGAAGAAATTACATTCCAAGTGGCCCCGTTCAGTAGTGGATACCACGCCCTTTTAGGACAGGAGGCGTTCACGATCTTCCAAGCCATACCCCATTATGGATACATGAAGCTCAAAATGCCCAGGCCCAACGGAATTATCACTCTCGCTAGTGATCCGGACACAGCACTCCGCACCGAAAACAAAACAGACGCATTGGCCCTCGAGGCATTATCCGAAGCCCTTTCAGCCGAGGAATTAACCGCGCTACGCTCTACAGTGGACAGGGATGACGTGATACTTGACAAGAGATCCAAGTCCACATCTTTTAAACCAGCGGACGAAATAGTCAAATTCCAAGTCCACCCAACGGACCCTACAAAAACAGCCTCCATCGGGGCATAGTTAAACCCCGCCGTGGACGCCGCACTACGAGAGTTCCTGTGCGAGAATTGGGATATATTCGCCTGACACCCCTCAGACATGCCAAGAATCCCACGCAGGCT